TGCTAGGAACGCAGACCAAAGGAGCTTGTGAATCGTGGTCAATCAATCATCTGCCACAGAGACCGAAGCGAGCTAAACTCAAGATCAAACCTAACCGATGCCCAACGCGCAGAGTGCAACGTATCAGGAAGGTATCGATTAGCAGACTTGTGTCGATCAAATCACAACTAGGGCAGTCGATACAAATGAAGGTACCTCACGTCTGATTCACGTTTCGGGCTCGAATAAACTCCAGTTTGTAGCGTACTTGCTCAGTTTGTCCTACTTTATTATAGGGTGACCTACTCTTGCAGCATCTAACACAACAAGACTGGATCAGATGGGAGCAAATCTAGCGAGCTGATTCCTCTGGTGGCTCATTTACGTGGAAGAGATATATGCGAGATATCTGTAAGCAGCATCTTCGAAGTGAAATAAAATTCGTCAACACAATTAAACCTAATGGAAAGCAATTTTACGCTGGAGTAAAAGGAAGAAGCAATGTGATCCCGTTCAACTCAGGGTCGCCTACATCCCACGGTACAGGCTAGAACATGAACCGAGAGGGAGCTTGTCACATATGGACGCAATTTGAGGGAACATTCACTGTTCCGCCCAAGAATCAGTGTTTGGTTGTCTCGCGACTGCACAAGTGTATGGAGATTTCTAGCCGAACTGTGCAGGGTTTTCGACTGCAGTGAAACCTCCAAAGTTGACCAACTATCTACGTTGACGACTTTTGCATAGCTTGAACGGTCATTTTGTAAATCATATGAAACCAGACCTCTGTATGTTAACCGCCTCAGTAACATGTATGTTTACCACTTGGCCTATAACAGTCAATAATAATTCAACCTCCATAAGTTGACCATTTGTAGGCTTATCGTCCAATGGTTCCTGAATGGCTCGTTTGTTCCGATAACACGGTGTGCAGCGGGACTGCAATCAGTACACTTTACGTTTGAGGATACAACATGTGCTCTGTGTGTATGTGGGTGTATGTCCCGGCTGTCAGCGTTTACGTGCACGCGTATTACTCGTAAGAACGGAAAACATTCCAAAGAACGTTTCACAGTTCCGTTGTGCGCTAGCCCAAGTGGGGACAAGTTAGAGCCCATGGTAATTGGTAAATCAGTTAGACCACGTGCGTTCAAAAACCTAAATCTTGTAAACCTTTCAGTTACATGAAAATCAAACCGATCTGCGTGGATAAGTGCTAGCAAATTTGAGTGGATCAAAGTATCGACAAAGAAATGATGAAGAAGAAATGCTTCATTATCCTAACAGTGAACAACTGTCCTAGTCGCACCAATGTACAAGAGATCTCACAAATACTATACTTAATTTGCTGCCTCTAAACATGATCTCACAAATTCAACCTGCGGACCAAAAGCCCATCCAAATAGTCAAAAGGCACTACTGAGCCCAGCTCATGCAATGAGCTATGGCAAAATTGGATACTAATGATTCGCATGCGGGAGGAACTTCATCTGTTGCTTGGATGTCGTGCGTTGGATAAGTTACGCTTGGTTCCGAGTTCAACCAGAAATAATAGAGGTGTTTCAGAAATGCCGTTGCCGTATTGGACATTTCATCTCCACTGGTAGAATTAGACAGAATGGATTTTACAGAGTTTGCTAAAATGGATGATACCTTGGTAACTTGCACTGAAGCAGAACCATATGGTATTTCAAAGCGATACTGACTGCGGTACTCCCCTACGGAAACAAAGAACAAACAACTGATGATGCTGAGGAAGAAGAAAAAGGACTGAGTGACGATGATTTGGAAAGCGTAGAAACTACAAAAGAAGATAAAGTCAGACATCCTTTAGTGAAACTGAAATAATTTGGTGTGGGAAAATGTCGAAGCAGGCTGAGTAGTGTGGCTGTTGCTGAGAGCGCCTTTGTTCTGTTGCCTATGTGATAAGAAACAAAGATGAAGCTTTTATTCAAAAATTGATTTAACCTGCGAAATGCCTAGTGCATTTTTTATTTATTATAACACTGTATAGCTGGACTGCGTTTGTTCTTACGTGAGATCCAGTCTAATGTTCTCGAAACGAGTTTATATGAAAATAAGCTGCATACTATACTACTCACAACGGGAAAGTGGGTTACGCTAAGTTTTAGCATAGAACCACTTAGGACCAGTCAGGTCCAGTTCCTTGAGTGAGCAACTTATGGGGTTTTTACTGTAATTGGAATCCAAAAAAGAAGCGCTGCACACTAAACCTAGTTGATATATCGATAACACTACATTGTAATAACATGCTTTCTCCGTTTTAATTTCATTTTCATTTTTAAAAGCGTATGTAGACTATAGTTTACCTGGTGACATCATTTTCATCTACAAATACTGGAAATTTATTCTGCACAAGAGATCTTCACCTAGAAGAAGCTGACGGTCTCCTCAAAGCCAAGGTTTACATTACGCCTCCGGGTGATGGACAAAATTCTGAGGAGGATGACATCAACGAAGTGATTACGGATGCTGGATCTCTTGATGATCTGTCAGCGAGGCAGTTACTCAGTGTAGCATCCGTAATTGCAGTCACCCTGGATGGCGAACCATGCGAACAAAACCAGAAAGTGGCAATATAAGTTCACAAGAGGAACTTGTTGCCCCTATGCTTGTTTCTTCAAGAAAATCCCAAACGAATACCAGTTCTAGACTATGTATGAAAGAGATGTTATGTCTAGGATCACAGACCCAGAGACAATGGTCTGAATGTAAAACAGACTTTTAAAGGAGGAGCCTACACCGTGTAAATCATTCGAACGTTTTTTAGATAAAGCTGTTGTTGAGCACATGGTAAGGCAGAAAAATGAGTATGCCCGATCAGAAAGTGACAATTCATTCGTTATAGCCACGGCTGAAATGAGTGCTTTTCTCGCTATTCTGCATATCTCTGGCTATAAGCCATTGTATTGGGATCCTGAACAAGATGATCACAATACAACCATCAGTCAAACAATGAATCGGTACAGATTTGAGACAATGAGGAAATATATCCCTCTGGCAAACAATAACAATCCGCAAGCAGATGACAAATGTGCAAAAGTTCGGCCACTTTATAACCTATTCAATAAAAGATTTCTGCAATTCTTCCCATGGAAGAAAAGCTGTGCGTGGATGGATGCATGAGACCATATTACGAACGGCATGGACTAAAACAACGCATCAGAGGAAAGCCTATTAGATTTGGGTATAATCAATGGGTCATTTGCAACACCTCTAGGCTATGTCGTTTATCTGGATCTCTACCAAGGAGCTCAGACCAAATATGACAAGATATTAGGTTTTGGATATGGCGTTGTTATGGACATAGTGGACAAGCTCCCGAAAGAACGGCCCTACTATATCTATTTTGGCAGTTCTTTCACAGGAATGTCAATCATAAAAGCCTTAGACAAAAGGCATAAGAGCAACGGGGACAGTTCGAGCAAATAGGTCGGGGGGTACTTATGATTACAGGTTTGATTGACGAGATGACGTGTTCATATTGTCTTGGAATGAAGTTAAATAAGAGAACACAATTTGGTGTGTGAACTCAAATAAGGGCTCTGTTGCGATGAATGAAAAATAGTAAAAGCGGACAGTTTAGATGAACGCACAGCTGCCATAGCGAAAGATGTGGGTGTATATGACTGGAAACCACTTAATAGACGTATATGCTGCGATCCAACAGCCGGCATTCAGGAATTATGGCCAGAAACGGAAAGTTACCCTTTAGCTACAAAACCTCAGAAATCGTTCATTAAAGCAAAATTAAAGTGTTCTCAGAAAGTTGAAGAAAAATCAATGCATTAGGCAGTTTCCCAAATTTTAAATGTCATTTAAAAGTGTTTTTACACTAATAAGTTTATAAATAGCCGTTTCTTATGTCCGTTTGAAATACAGACTTGGGGAACACTACCGTTGCTATATCCATGCATCCGATATGCTACTGGCTGGCGGCGCTTGGCTAATGAAATAGCTACACGACGGTGCGCGCATGTCACAGTCGCCTGGCTAAACTTGGTTCATCGGACGGACCAACCTGTTAGCACGAGAGGAAATCGATATCGGGTTATGTCAATTCGTTACCTGCATGGGCTAACTTGACTCGGAAATGGTATAGTAGACCATATGTCAACTGAAGACGTTAGGTACATCGCGTGTGGTGACAGCAAACTTGATCTTGGATTTGGAATGGGTACCAAACATAGCTTCCTGTTCGTATGAGTGATGGTATTCTACCTGCTACCACATTTAATTTTTCGGTCAGATAGGCCGCACAGAAGATCCCATTCGCAAGAAATGGGAACGGCGCAATGGCAAAGTTTCGTAAATCCGAGATAAAATTATGGTCAAGTTCTGTTTAGCATTCGTTCAGTAGCAACTACTTCTTCTTGATGAACGAAAGGCTTTCATCGTACGCAGAGTACCGAGACATGTATCTGCTGTGCGCTAGAACAATGCCACAAAACGATTCTCCGCCATGTAACCACTAGTGGCTGTATACGAGCAGAGATAGTGTGAGATGGCCCGAACCCGGGCAGATTTGAATCGGTACCTGCAGATTACAAGTCTGACATTTGAAATGCTCCCGACAAAGACCAGAGAGGAGCGACAAGTTGCCCCCGACGAGTAATTGAGCAACGCACGCTCTTGCTCCGATGCAACGCCCAGTTCCTTTTGGTTATGTTTAATACTTGCCCTAACACTTTCCTGTCAGAGAAATTTCTATCCGCGTGTCCAATACTTTCCTGAAACAGTGCATGATTGAGGTATTGGTTTCAGTGTTCACTAAGAAACAGTATACGATAACTTTATCTGCTAGTTATGACAAAATGTTATCCATAATTTCTGAACAAATACCAAGGAACTCATATAAGTAATTTTGTAATGAGGAGAAGCGAAGGAGGCTAGATCAAAGGAACTATCAGGATAACCTGAGAACTCACAAAAACAAAAGGAATACAAGCGAGTGGGGAATCACAAAATTAATCGACTGAAAGCCAGAGACACAAACTCACGACATGGCATGCGATCAGAATAACCTGATCGGATGTTAACCGTGCCTGCTTCAGAACAGACTCCATGTCACCGGTAAAGCGATCCATAATGAGGAAACGGCATCCAGGTTGTCCTGGTGGTGAGTACAACCCACTAGCCACGTAGCGTGGGATACCCAGAAAACTGAGCTTGCGCTGGTTAATCCAGGTGGAAACTAGGGGGATAAAAATACACTTTATTGACAAATGCATGTATACTTGAACCCAACATGTAGTGGTGTGAATACACCATTGGGCTGCAGGTCCGTATGGACCAAGAAAATGATCATCTCCACTATGAGCAGCTTTATCGAAGAATTGTCGATGTTCAAGAAGAAAAAGGCAGTCCGATTGCAATCCATTCATAGCCAACACAGTGCTTTTATGAAGGAGATACGACAGTAGCTAACTGAGAGGCATGGTGGACAAAGCTGTAGCAGTGGTAGAAGCTGACAATTTCAAACAAAGCAGCAGTTACCGGTCTTAGGTTAAACTTTTTGCTGTAAGATAGATCCGTCGCAACATGGAATCCACACCCACCTCTACATCGTAGGACCACTACCTCTGTTTGATGGTATAATCTACATAGTGGCCACGGCGGATTGCATTACTCACCGGCATGAAATAGTCTCCATTCTCGACGCGTCTGTAAACATAACGAGCGTTAGTATCGCTTCAAGAGGTTGACCAGCTACTGTGACCATCGAAGACGGTCTGAAATCCGAGTCTACAACTTGCAACGAGCTGACTAATGTTCACGTTCATCAATGCATCTGCATCACGGCTTACCAATCGGAGGCAAACTGTTTGGTGGAACGCTGCAATGGGTATTGAAGACCGCACTAAGTATCACCGCTGAATTTAGTTAGGCAGAAGTTCTATCCAATAACTACTTAGTATTCGACCAACTCTGAGGGCCGATTTACAGACGTTCAGGATAAAAAGGTTTTATGGACAAGACCTGTGATCCTCAAACGACATGTCGCGCGAGAGAGTTAACACTTACAGATACGATGCGTAATACACCCGTTAGCGGATGTAATGGGTTTGCGCAGACTTGATCGTGTTAGCTTAGCCGAAAGTTACGCGTGACCTGAGCACAGTGGCTATCCTCGCACGCGCTGAGTCCTCGAAACTAGACAGCGATGTGCACACTCGAGACAAACGCAAACGCAGCGACCGGCCAAAACAACGCACACGATCACTCGACCACGCCAGTCCCAGCTAGGTTACCAGAGGAAGACAAGACGGAGCGGACCATTTACAACACACAAAGGCTGAATCACAATTGGCACAATGGTTCATTTTGAAGGTGAAAGGAATCACCACGTAGGACGCGTGGTTTACGAAATGGCACTGTTCACTTTAGCCCAACTGCGCCCCGAGTTGGACTGGCTGGATCCTGATACGTTGTGGGCAGGAGTTGAATTCTGCGTGGCGAAGCCCACGCACTGGAGTTTATGGCGCATTTTTGCGGGGTTACTTGACGTTTCCGCAACAGCTGACTACATCCATGCGCCACAATGAACCAATCGACACCTAAAAATAATGTCATAATCCGTATTTCCGTCAAGATCACTATCGATGCCCATTCGCCTTTCTGTGCATTGATATTCTACGCCTACCACTCGAACGACCATGATCAAAGCATCTCAGCCCAAGAATCGTGTTTTCGCTAATGAACGCAAGGAAAAGCAAAAACTGTTACCAGTGATCATCACAAAGTCAATTAGGTTGAAGCGGAGTTTAACTAAGAAAGTAAGTCTCGGTCTTCCGACGAATCAACCCAGCCGTTAATGAAGAAGAATCGTAGTACAACCACCAACTATCCGACTGGAAAGCCACTGACACCGCCAAACTCCACAGAGTTACTAGGCCTCATAGTCGAGTGTATAGATCTACTCGTTCTCGGAAGGTTGGCTACACTTTATGTTTTAATAACATTTTCAAGTATTATGTCTCAGCACCATGTAGAGACCAAAAAAAAATTGAAACACAAAAGCTGTTTCTTTTACTGCCCTGTCATCTGGCTTCTACGGTAATTAACGACAGAATTTTCCCCTAGCGTCGATCATTGCCCTGTGTTCTCTAGCTTTCATGTTTAGAACACATAGTTACATGAGCCTGACACGCTGAAATCGGAATGCTGTGTTACCATATTGTCTTTGGGTCTTAACACTGAGTAAGGACGTGGAAGAAGCCCGCCAAACTGTGTGAATAAATAACGTCATTTCTAGCAGCGTAGTCTCGCAGAACGCTAGCTGGCCACGAAAGCTATTCAGGTCGATTGAGCAGTCATGCACAATTCCATTCTAATGGGTGGAGCTGTATAGCGGGATCAGAGATTCCCTTGTTAGGGCGTGATAGCAAACTAATTCCAAAACAATCAGTCTAACCCTGCTCATAGAAGCTTTTCAAACTCGTTGCCATGCCGGTAGCCTCGGAAAAAACTTGTATTAACCGTTTATCCAAGGGTTGTCATCTACTGATAACCCTCATGACTTGGAGTCAGACAACAAGAGCAGGTAGTGGACACTAGTAGATTGTAGTAGCGAGGAACCAACCTGTTGAGCTACTGATCACAGCTACCTGACTGTAATCAACACTGTCTTCGGATCTGAGAAGTGCCTAGTCAGGAATCCGCAAGAGCAGTATTCGGTATGTGTATCTAGTTGGTTGTGTGAGTTCGTCTGTAGGCATTTGTTTGAACAGATTCAACATACATCGTCTCAAGTTCGAATAGATAGATTCTATCCTTTAGTGTGTTCCGACCGGTACGAATCCGCTCTCATAATTGGCCTCGTTTATCGATGATGCCGCAGCTGTGCTAGACACTCTCACACTTCAAGCTATCTGGCAAACTATCATCCGTTAGCTCTTAGTTCATTGTAACCGTTAGCATCGTTTGTTTTAACCGGTATCCCCACTCACTACGTTGATGCTGTCTGCGATATAAACTCTGTAGCTCTCGAGTTCTCTCCGTGTGGACTTGATCCAGATCCAGCATTTGTGACGCATAATGATGAGAGTTGAGTACACAATGGGTAACGAAGACCGGTAAGTGGTGTAGAAAAGATGGGTATATGGGACGTAAGTATGATGAATTACAACACCCGGGCATCCCAAGAAAAGGAAAAAAAACTCACGAGAGGCCGGTGAACAGGCCCGCATGTAAAAATGCACTTCCGTGAAGAGGGGCCCGTTTTCCTTCGGTTCCTTAGCAGACTAGATTAGAATGTTAGCGTAACTCACTATTTTAACCACATAATTCTCCGTTTGGTCTCCAGTGCGTTTGGCTTATCAGTGAAAACGTTAGTGTCGGACATACCAGAATATATACATCCGAAACCACCTTGGGCGATTGGCTTTCCAACAATCCATTGAGATTTGAACGTATCTGACAAAATGGTACCTGTGGATACCGGCATTGCCAAAACGTAAGCACTGGGTTTCGGAGCACGCTTTTTGCGTACGGACATTTTAGTGAAGTAGAGGAAGCTGCAATAAAGTTGTAAGCAGCTGAAATTAAGATAAGTTCAGTGAGCAGTTAAACAAGAAGTTAGCAAAATGTAGCAAAAATCGGCAGTCAAAAAGACGAAATCGTTTCACATACGTTTATTCGTTAGGAGGTTGGGAATACGTTATTGAATGGATAAAGCCGAGAAACTATCAAATCCCACAGCGAAAATGGAAACATGTTAGGAAGACACCAGGACCATGTGGTGTCAGGGATAAAGCAAAATCTTTTAGAAAATTTGCTGTCTAAACTCGAAGATGTGTCGGATAAATAACAATCAATAGAACCATCCAGTTGATTTTCAAAAATTTCAAGTGCGTCATAAGACGACTGTATGCAGAGGTGTAGCAAAGGAGAGGAGGTCAAGCCGTACCGGGCGGCATGTGAGAGAGAGCGACATTTTTAGTACAGATGATTGTTCGATGCCACGTATAAACAGCAAAAATGCCCCAAAAAAGCCGGTAATTGAATACCGAGATTTTGCTCTGCATACTCCAAGACACATTTGCGCCAACTGTCACACTTGCATGTCGACGGTTCCTTCACGTCTTTGCACACATCGCTCCAACTGCAGTTACTCGTGAACGAAATGCGTTGTCACCCATAGGGCATTGTACAACAACCACGTCATCGCAAAATGTTCTATGACCCCAGCATTGGAGACGATGCAGCTTTGAGTACCGGCCAAGCTGGTGTTGGTGTTGCCCTGAGGCCCGGGCTGAAGCTGCTCTGGTTGATTACATCCCATTCAGTAGCTGGATATGAGCGGTACGACTGACTGGCTCGTTCGAAGCATTGAAGTCGTGCGGAACTAACGGGTGTCTGTTTGTCATCGCTGCCGACGTCCCCACAAACTGCAGCGATGACTTGGTAAAAGAAGACTCCCATCGCCAACTGAACGAGCTCCTTTAACACAGAAGAAACAAGGAAACTGTAGTGCCGGCTGTGGATCATAACGCACAAGTTGGGAAACTGTTCACTGCTGAGTTGCATCTGGGCGGTCAAAATGGTGTAGGCTCTCTTAATGATGGCGGTGAGCGGTTAGTTCATTTGTGTGAAGATGATAGCTTATTTCTTGCGAACACTAACTTCCGCCACAGCACCCATCAGAAGGTGACATCGCGCCCACCAGCCTCGAACCTGTCATGGACGCAAATCGACCACATCGCGATTAGTTATCGCTGGAGACGCTGCGTCGAAAACTGTCACTTGATTTGGAGCACATGTGTGGACACTGACCATGCACTTGTATGTGCTGATCCGCGGGTGCGTTTTGGTGATCGCCTTAGACGATCCTGTGAGCACATTGACACCACCCAACTGGCGAACCCAGCTGTTCCGAATGTGTGTGTGTACGCTGGCCTTCGGATTGAGCAAGCGCTTACTGAACCCAGTTGAAGGTCACTAGTCGCATGTTCATCAGACAACACCAGCTGCCAAATCCTCATATGGTAAATCCCATAGCCGATATAGACATCGGGTCTCTTCGCAGTCTCTGGAACTTACCGATGCTCGCCAGCACATTCCGGCTGGAGACTCGCAAAGACCTCAGGGCAAAACTCCGTGCCAGCCTGAAGAGAGACCGCGAATACTGCTGGTCTCATCGTGCATCAGAGATATAAGTGGCCGCTACCCTTGCTAACCATCGGAAGTTATTACGTCCGATACGGGCAGCAGGGAACCTGGTGTTAGTTAAAATATACGTGAAGAGAGTGGACAGCCTAACCACAACTTGTCAAAACACTTGGAGCGTGGGGCTGAGCACTTCGAAGAGCAATTTAATCGGGCCAAAATGGGCAGATTCCTCACCGGCCAGTGATCAAACTGCTCCCTGAACTGTCCCTTAGGAACGCCCTCTCGCTCAGAAATCGAAATCAAGAGCGGACTTCTGAGGTTGAACAAAGCCGCAGGACCAGATGATCTTCCTCCAGCCCTCTTCAAATTCGGGGGCTGTGTTCCTATTGACGAATGACTAGTGAAAGTGTGGGAGCAGGAAACTGTCCCAACTGACTGGAGCCGCTCCGTTATTGTTATTGTTCTAGTGATGCTAGCGTTCGGAATACGGCAGCCATAGAGGAATCAGTCTGATCTCCATCGCCTCCAAATTGTTTGCCTCTGTAATCCTTCACAGACTGACTAGCACTCAAGAAGACCAGATTCGTGAGGAGAAAGCAGGGATTCGTGGAGGTCGGGGATGAATCGACCACATATTCAACTTGCGTCAGTTGTTGGAACACCGTCACATATACTGGTGTCCCACAGTTGTCGTGTTCCTCAACATCAATGGTGCCTTCGATTCGGTGGATCGATGTGCTCTTTGGGACTGTCTAGACAGGAAAGGTGTGCCTGAGAAATATGCAAATATTTTCTGAGTGCTATGCGCGTGTAGCTCGGGCAGTGTGAGAGATTACGGCAAGCTGTTGCTGCCTTTCAATATCTCTTCAACTTCGCTATTGACGAAGTCATGGAGATCGCACTCACAGGACACAACTTAGATGTGGAGCTAGTCCCAGGTGAACGACTTCTTGATTTGAAACATGCTGACGATATTGCCAGCAAATTTGACAGTTCACAAACGTGCCTAGCGGCACTGGACAGATAAGCATTGACAGTCAACCGTTTCGGGCTTTGCTTTCCACTGTCAAGATACATATCTTTCCTCAAAGATGGGCAAAGACCGCCTCTTGCGCTGACCCTTGGGGGAGGGGGGGGGAGGATCACCTAGTCGTTCAAAAATTCAAATACTTAAGCAGTTGTATTAATGCCGTTGGAATTGAAGATGAGGTCACAAACCGTATAAGAAAAGCACGAGGAGCTTTTGCTAGACTTCGCCACCTGTGGCGCCGGTGAGATATCACCCTCTCCTTGAAGGGTAGAGTCTAAAATGCAGTCGTCAGTTCAGCTCTCCTTTACCGCTGTGAAATCTGGCCCATTAGATGAGCACGTATAAAGAGGCTAGTTACGTTCGACCACCGGTGCCTTCGCAGTTTGGCTCATATCTGGTGGGAGCATCGTGTGAGCAATGAGTGTGTTCGACACCTTGTGTATGACACGGGAAGAAGAAGCGAATCGCTCAGCACCATCATTTCATGCATCAGGCTCCGAATATTAGGCCAGGTGCAGCGTATGTCAGCCGACCGACTCCCGAGAGGTGTGTTGTTTGGTCGCCGCGTGTGCGGATAGAAGGTCAAACGATGGGTTGGTCAAGAAGAATGAAGCCTGTTAGCTCGAAATTGGCCTCGGTTGGAGCCTCTCGGCACCCTGGTTAGGGTTCGAAAGACGAGGAACCCTTTTGGCTGGATACACTTGTTGATATGTCTAAGAGCTGACTTCAATGGCGCTTTTGTCGTGAGCATTTTGTCCCTCTCCCTCCCGTTTATCCCCTCCCTCCAACTACGATCTTATTTATTAGGTAGAATATAACTCTTTTTTGCGGCACAATAGCCTGCTGCTATCTCACCGGAACGATGTCCATCCGTTACTAGGGACTCTGCCGGCGTGCCTCTGTTGCACGTGATTTTCTTTTTTTATTGCGGCGCAATAACTGTGGTGTTTTTCGTCTGTAGCTGACCTGTAAGAATGATGGCCCGATATAAGCGCCTGTGTGACTATGATTGCTGTCTCTGGCCTTCGTAATCTGTCTGTACAGTCACCAGTACGGTGATTGGTACTCTCAATGTGTGTCTTGTCAAGAATCGGTTGTTTCCATGCTGAGATACTAGTAGTGAGGTCTGTCCTTAATTAATGTGTTAGCCATTTTTATAGTACCACGGTACTAGGTAGTTCACATTCGTCTTTGTTTTGCTTTGACCCAGGAGCTCTATGCATTGGTCGAAAATCCCAAACAATTGTGTCGCTTACACCAATCCCGTCTAATTCTACTTTTTGTGACAAAAACGAGAGGCGATAATCATGCTGAGACAGAAGATAAAATTAATACTGCAAGCGCTGATACCCGGCCAACGGAAATTGACACTGAGAGCATTGATGCAGCGGGAAATGTCTATAATGCTGATGCAGAAGATGGGGGAGAAATTGAAAAATTGGAAAGGCAACCGCTCCCTGGCACGGTAACACGCACATCAACAGATTGCAAGGATATCGGTCGGTGGCCCGTTAAGACGAGTCATGAAATTGGCACTTTACTTTTCCGGATGGGATCTACCACAGTGCAGCAAGATCACGGATCCAAAACAGTACGACCTAAAATGAATACAGAAAATGAAGCTAGGAAGATAACAACGAACTGGTATTTTCGATATTCATGAAACAGAGAGCAAAGATTGCGGACAAGTATGATGTATTCTTTCAAAGAGGCTCTGTCCTACTTCCGCTGTAGACTGTTCCCAACGGGATAATCTAGTTTTCGACTGATGAGAGTTGCAAAAACTGGTGGAAATTGAACCCAAAGTATATAAACGAGAAGCTAGTAAATAGCGCGTTCAGGTGTTCCTTTGAAAGAAAATCATACATCAGGACAAGGGATAAAAGTATTTCTACTTGATTTTGATAGCCCTCCTGATGTATCTCACAAAAATCAAATGAGTGGGTGTTGAGCTAGCAAAAATGGATGAAAAATAAGTGAAAGTTAGGGAGTCGTTTCTCTGCCTCAGCAAAAGCGTAGGGGAAGTTTTTGGACTGCTTTTGAAAGAACTGGGGAAGGATGGAATTCAAATTGGTGAAGACCATGGCCAGGCATTTGACAACGTTGCTGTTATAGCGGGCTACCGATTGGTGGTCCAGAAAGTATCGGAGAAATAAAGCGAATCGCCACATTTGTCCCAAGCGCAAACCGTTCCCTGAATCTGGTTTTGCATATGAATCTTCTGAGACGGTTCATTCTGTTACACATTTCGGTACAATTGACCGGCTATACTCGCCCACCTTTACTACTACAAATCGCTGAAACGTCTTGATCCAAGTGATCAATCTAAGCATCAAGCGGGAGAAGGAAACTAGGTAGCGTAATGTGGAGCAGACGCTGTG